AAGATTGTACCAATCGCGACAGTAACATTAGTACCGATGGTAAGACCGGAGGTCATCATATTACTAGTACTGACAAGACTGGTGCTAGTAGTAGCAGTAACAAAAGTATTAATTAGAGACAATTGAGATGACGATGTTTTTGTTGATGATGTAGAAGAGGATGAAAATGATGATGAGGAGCAGGAGGAGGAGGAGGAGGAGGAGGAGGAGGAGGAGGAGGAGGAGGAGGGGGAGGGGGAGGGGGAGGAGGAGGAGGAGGAGGAGGAGGAGGAGGAGGAGGAAGATGGATATGACGACGTTGCCGCTGATGGTGCTGATGATGATGATGACGACGAGGATGATGGTGATGGTGATGGTGGGGAAGACGGTTTATAGTCATGTTGGGCGGGAGGCGATGATGGAGGTGGTTGCTGGGGATGATGACCCTTGCTTGTTGCTTTCCGTGCTGTCATGGTGGATGTAGCTACTGCTGATGATATAAATCCTGCATTACCCTAAGGACCCTAAACTATGGGAATACTGGTATATTCCTCATTATGATGTAATGCAGGATTTATTAGAAGGGGCCCCCACCCTGTAATAGTGGTATCATAGGAATATAATAGGGCCTTAATATAATCCTTGTAGTCACTATTACAGGGTGGGGGCCCCTTTACTAAATGATTTATATCCCTAAACCCTAAAACCCTATAGATCCCTTAAAAGGAACCCCTTAAAGGTACCCCTATAGAGCCCTTTAAAGGAACCCCAGGATTTATATCATCAGCAGTAGATCGAGCTAAGGAGCGGCTCGCCTGGTGATCCTTTGTCGTTTTGCAAGGACCAGCCTTAGCGGCGTTTGGCGATTAGGGTTTCAGCATTTAGGTTTAAGACGGGTTTAGAACTTCAGCATTTTAGGCTTAAGACGGGTTTAGAATTTCAGGGTTTACCACTTGGAATTTGGAGTAGGTTTAGGGCTGAGGTCGCTTAGGATTTAGGTTTGAGTGTTCATGCCTGTTGTCGGGCTGTGGCATTCCTAAACCCTAAACCCTTAACCTTAAACCGGGGCTGTGGCATTAGCATGTAGGGTTTAGAGCTCCAGTGTTTAAGAAGTAGGGGCTTTCTCTATGCTCTATACGGTTGTATACTCAGTTCAGGGTTTGCACTGTTCCTGATCCCTTTATCAGCCCCAAACCCAGACATTCCCGAGACCCTCAACCCATGGGACTTAGCAAGTAATTAAGATTATAGGTACCTTACTTAGGGTTCTAGCTAGTTACAAGTATAACCCTAGTTACTAAGTCCCGTGATCCTCTAAGTACCCCCAAAACCACTAATAGTCTCCCTTCATAGATCCCTTAAAGGAGCCCTTTAAAGGAACCCTAGTTACTAAGTCCCGTGATCCTCTAAGTAGGGTTTAACGTTTGGTTCCAGCCAAGCAGCAGAAAGTGCTGAACGACGGCTGCGCCTCGCTGCTCGTCCGGCTTAGGGTTTAGGGTTTAGGGATGAAAAATTGAAACCAATAAGCAAGAGCAGTTCTTCAGGCTAAAGAAGACCCATAATATAGGGGCCTGAATAATTACCTACACTACTTTGGGGGTTCCGAGGAATAGTCAAGGTATAACATACCCCCAAACCCTATGCCAATTGTTAAGGCCCCTATTTTACGAGTTTTGTTGCAGATCGATCTACAGAACAGGCCAGAATTGGGCCCCCATAGAGGGGGTGAGCCAGCTGGGGGGAGGTGGGTGGGAGGAGGAAGGCGGTTTTGCGAGGTGAGAGGCGGGACGATGACGGGCAGGTTTCGATTTTCCGATCGTCTCCCGCTTCGGCAGTTGACTTGACATGTTAAACTGTTCAAGTGTTTCTGGGTTTGGGGGTATTGGATTGCGCCAGATAAGAGTTTTGAGCAACTGCTTCCCCACCCCTAAACCCTAAACCCTCCGAGCAAGCAGGACGACCCCGTCGGATGGGTAAGCAGCGATGATACGCGATGTGCCTCGGTTCCCACGTGAGCTTTTTGAGACATAAGTCGTTGAATACGCCCGATACTGGGCTTTGGAGTACCATACTTTAATGCTTGTTTCTTAAAGGAACCATTATGAAATAGAGGTGTATACTTTTTCCCTGGTTACTTAAAAGCCCGATAAGTTCCAACTCAACTACTACTGTAAACTCGGAAAGCTCCTTCAAATACAGGACAGGAAGACGAAAAAACGGTTTAGGGTTTCTGGTTTTGGGGGTTTAGGGTTTTGTGGTTTAAGGTTTTGGGGCTTAGGGTTTCGGGTGTTGGGGTTTTGGGGTTCGGGGTTTAGCGGGACGCTTGGAAGAACAAGGCGTGATCTCTGTATTTGTGAGCTCAAGCCCACAAACTCGCAAACGTCGCAACGTAGGACCATTCCGCAATGGTGCCTTTAAGGAACCTTCGTAAAGGACAGCTTAACGAAAGGATTTTGGAGCCATTAGGCTATTTTGGTTCGTTCAAGCCAGAAACCTTTGAACCAAAGCTTTTGATGTGCTGGACTTAGGGCAGAGATGTAAGGGCCGAAAATGTGGATAGTCCTAAAGTCTTTGACGCCGGACTGTTCTGAACCCTCAAACACCCTAAACCCTAAGCCCTCAAACACCCCAAACCCTGAACCCTGAACCCTCCAACTCAAGCCCAGATTCCAAAACGTAAAACCGAAACGGTAGTTTTACCGACTTTTTCAGGCCATAGCATGCAACCCTTACAGAGTAAGACTTCCACTATCAGTTGCAACCATTGTAGGAAGGTCGCCGAGTGTTTGAACACGCTAAGAAGCAGCGTGAAGCCACCATTTTGAGAAACCTTGTGCATCTTAATGAGTGACATCCTTACAGCCCTAGGCTGCAGATTCTTCATGTATGAAGCCACCATAGTGAGGAACCTTGTACATGTTAATCAGCGTGAGTTTTGCAGCCCGAGCCCGCAGATTCTTCATATATGAAGCCACCATTCTGAGGAACCTTGAGCATCTCAACCAGTGACATCCCTAGAGCTATAGGCTGCAGATACTTCATGTATACCCTAAACCCTTGAACCCTAGCCCAGGCTGCAGATACTTCATGCGGAGTTTCTGCACCAGTGATGGCGGATATGGCACTGGCTGGGAAAGCTCTTACGGCACTTTCAATAACTGGATTGGTGCCTTGCCTCATAGGGACCCTTAGGGGGATAGGGTGGGTAGGGGACGATATTTCCTCAAACAGGCCTTGTTATCGGGTCCCTAAGGCCCCCTATGCCCCCCCCTCCCCTAACCCTAAACCCCTAAACCTAAGCCCTAAACCCTGAACCCAAAACCCCTCAACCCTAAACCCCTACACCCCTAAACCCTAAACCCTACCCGCCGAAGAGTCCCCTATGATTGCCAGAGCATGCGACTCCGGGGTCGTGGGTTTGGTTTACCCTACCTTAAACCCCTAATAACCTACCTTTGTAAGGATTTGAGGGTTTCCGAAAACAGGGGACCTTATTTAATATAGTACCCGAAATAGTAGGATCCTTATTACAAGGACCCCAAAATAAGGTACCCCTAATGTTTGGAAACTCCCACTCATATAAGGAAAACATAATAAGGAGCCCTAAGAAGGTAGGTTATGATGAAATCCTGGTTTAACGCAGTCCCTCTTTAAAAACAACAAAGCCCTGAACAGCCCTGAATTCCAAAGTCTTGTCCACTCAAGCTCTACTTCCCAAGTCCTAAACGCCTAAAACCTTGCTTAAAGGACCATGGGACGTATAAAGTAGGTTATAATTGGGGTTATAAGTCGCCTAAGTCGGGCCTAACTATAGCCTACTTACAACCTTACTTACTAAGTCCCATGAGCCTTTAAGTAAGAGATTTTTGACCGCTACCAAGGCACTGCGGGCCTCCGGGCTGCACATTAGGGTTTAGGGTCTTAGGGTTGTGTTATAGGTTTTTGGGCTTTAGGGTTTTGGGTTTAGAGTTCTGGGGTTTTTGGGTTTGGGGTTTTGGGGTTTGGTGGTTTAGGGCTTTGGGGTTTAGGGCTTTGGGGTTTTGGGGTTTAGGGTTTAGGGTTTTTTATTAGGCCTAGAGTCGGGGGGCGCAGGGTCGCGATCCTGAAATCGCACACAATCAGGGGTTTAAAGGGAGCAGATTTCGAAGGGTCTTAGCATGGGGTTCATAATTAGACATACCTATCACTATACTACAAGTATAATGTAATTTCAAAAAGCCAGGTATAATGTATGAAAACATGTTATAGTCGTTTACGCTACCATGCGGCAATGTGCGAGAACATACGGCAACAGACGGTGATATGCTGATACAGGGGCCTTAATAATTGCCTAGACGATTTTCGGTGCTCCTTTTTGTAACTATAGTCGAGTATACCCCAAAACCGTATTCTACTTATTATATTAGGCCCCTATATCAGGTTTAATTTAATCTTCTACAATACAAGGATCCTCAGATTGGGGCATTTCCAGTATACCCCAAAACCGTATTCTAATTAATATATTAGGCCCCTATATCAGGTTTAATTTAGTCTTCTACAATACAAGGATCCTCAGATTGGGGCATTTCCTTGTCTGCATCTCCAGGATACAACACAGATCGAGAGTGGAGTTTAGGGTTTAGGGGCTTTGACTTTCAGGTTGCAACACTACCGTTGATGATATAAATCCTGCATTACCTTACTGACCCTAAACTATGGGGGTTTATGGTATGTTCCTTATTATGGGTCATGCAGGATTTATATCATCAGCCGTACTACGATACCACAAGTAACGAACGTTCTTCTTAATTTGAGGTTCTTGAGTGTTTGGGTTTGGCACATGTTGCATGGGCCGACACTTGCGGGTTTAGAGTGTCGGGCTTTAGGGTTGTAGTGCTCAGGATCTAGAGTTTAGGGCTTCCTGGTTGTAGGGATCAGGGTTGAGGGTGCCCAGCCTCTGGGCCCAAGCCTACACGGGGCGAGGTCGTTGAGTAGAGGTCTCACTCTCTGCTTGCGGATTGGGCCGTGACAACATTTCAGCCATGGTTTCAGAATGGTGGCAGGATTATAAGAATCTCTTCTCCTTTGCCAATCGTACTTTGGAAAGCCTTGACGGTATGAATGCTTGCTTTCACCTCCTGAAAGAGGGCTCCCCAGTCTTCAGTGATGACTCTGTACTGGTTCGGGCCAGGATTCTTCAGGAACTTCAGACCGTTGTGGCAGATGACAGGGTCGAGGTTCTGGCAGCGGACAGCCCACAGCGCCTTGCGGTATTAAGAATGTCTTACGCCAATTGGCACGCGGTGGGCCAGCACGGCCAATCCTTCAGAGCCTTATGGACCGGGGTCCGTGTGCAGGGTGACATTGTCATCTTGGACACGACCACGGGACCTGCATTCTTGACGTCGGATGTTGCATTTCGTGAGCATGAAACCATACAAGTCGCAGAGCTGTTCAGCGGGGGTTTCGCCGGCTGGTCTCAGGCTTCCTGGATTATCTCCAATATGGGTGCCCCGGTTAGAACCAGCTGGGTTTTGGACATAGAGGACCACCTGTTGCCTCCCCTTCAGGCCATGGATCCTAGCTTGCAGAAAGCAGAGAGCCGTCGGGAGCTTGACGCATTGGACGTTGAGCAAGGCCCTGTTGCACTGCTCGCCAACGCTGAGCATACTTGGTGGCACGGCATTTGGGCGCGAGCGGCACCCCATTTGCTTGCGGTTTCGCCCCCTTGCCAACCATGGAGTGGGGCCGGAAGTGGCCAAGGACTTGAGTCGCCTGATGGACGCTTGCTCTTGCTTGTGGCAGCGGTCATGACAGTGGTCCGTGTCCCCGTTGTCTGCATTGAGGAAGTTGCAGGGTTCTCGTCACATGTGCATTTCGATGTAGTCATGGCCGCTTGGCGTGAGGCCGGGTATGACCTGGTGGCACGGCAGGAATTGCAGCTGGCTGAGGTTGCCCCTACTTGGCGCCGCCGCCTGATGCTGATTCTGGTGCACCGGGAGACTGGTCCTCAGGTGCCGGACATGCCTTGTTTCGTGCCTTGGCAACCAGTGCCGCGCCCAAGCTTAGCGCTGATGAAGGCCTACTTCCCGATCCTCCCAAGTGGGCTTGCCACACCGTGTCAGTTGAGCCGGGAGTTGCTGCAGGTGTATCTTGATCCTTGGTACATGCCGCCGAATCAGAAAACTGATGCCGCCTCGGTGCGTGCCTTCCGGCTGTGTAACCCACACCAACGGGCTAAATGTTTCATGGCGGCGTACCACAGACAGCATGAACTCCCTGAAGGACTCCTCACCCGGGGCGGTCTCCTTTGCAGTCTGCTTACTGTTGGCGAGGACACGCGATTCTTCTCTGCCCCGGAGATTGCTTCCTGCCACGGCGCAGTGAGGACACAACTCTTACTCCCTGATGATGAGCAGTCTATGCGCATACATGGAAACGCCCTGGCAGTGCCCCAGGCTGCTTTGACGCTGTCTAATGCACTGTGCTGGCTGGCACCGCACTTTCACCTAGACCCCGCTGAGGTTGTGCGCCAATGCCTGGAGGCAAGACTGCATTGCCAGAATAGTGTCTTAGGTTGAGGCGGGCTGGTTATGGATTCGGCACGATGAGCTTGGCCATGTTTTGGCAAACAAGGCGCTGCGTGCGCAAATTGAGGGTCGCATGGATTGCCCCCCAGCCCAGTTCCACTTGCTGCGTTTTGGTTCGTGGACGTCTGGCACCTTTCAGGTCACCAGCGAAGTATACTGCTCCGTGCATATCCCTGTCGCTAGTGCCCTACTGTGGCTTGGAACCCAGACAGGAGAGGATTGGACCCCTCCAATGCAGATCAAGCGTGCAACTGTGCTGAACATTCCGACTGTGTCTGCCCCCGCCGCCTGTCTGAGTGCAGGCGTTGCCAATCGCCAGGGTGTGCGGGACCTCTCCTTGCTCTACACGCCTACTGCTCGGGTGTTGATACATAAAGCTTGTCCAGATGTGCTCCACCAGCTCCGCTGGGTCTTCGAAAATTGTCGGGCGCATGGTCTAAGTGTTGCCTGCCTCACCTGTTACGGTGTGCCTCTGCCGGCAGTTTGCGACTTTCCAGATGCCGCCTTCGTGGTTACTGAAGCCGATGATCTTTTCTTCCGGGCTCCGCTGCTAGACTGGGCTCGTGTTCTGTGTTCCAGAAACAGAAGCCCTTCAGGCCCTTCAGCTTAGAGTGGAGCCCCAGCATGCTGTTGATTGGTGGTTGCAGTTGCCTTGCCATCTTCTGGAGTGCCTCGGTTGGCGAGGTGCGTCTGCTGACCCCTCCGACAAGGAGGACATGTGCGTTCAATTCCAGGCCGTTACCTCCACGCCTGTGTTGGCCCTTCCACAGCTCAAGTGCTACCTTCGCGATTTGTACTACCTGTCCCAGGTTCGGGCGGATGCTCGGCACGAAACTTCGACATTGTATGGTCCGGTTGCAATCCAAATTGAAAGGTCGGCTTCTCTGGACGGGTGATGTGCCCGGGGAGCTCACAGCTGCCTGTCTTGCGAAGTTTTGGCACAATGCATGCAGGTGTTTCGGGTGTTGGCCGACCGCCCAGCTTTACTCCGGCCCTTTCCCAGTCGACTATGCCTGCCCAGTTGAGCATCTCGCCGCCCGTGGCCGGGTTCAACTCAAAGGCCCACGCCGGCTGTTGGCCCTCACGGTCCTTCCCGAGACTCGTGGAGGTGGCGTCAAGGACGAGCAAATTCAGCTCGCGAAGAGCCGGTGTGCCAGCTTGCTCCTGGATCGGGGAGTTTCCCTCGCTGAGGTCAGTGTTGCTGTGGATCGATTGGTGAGCGTGTTGGGTGCCACTGCCTGCTTGGAGCCTTTGTCCTCGGCTGCTGCCTCCCGCTTCCAGCGCTTGAGCCAGCTTGCCCGCGCCGCCAACATTGATCTCCCGCCAGGTGATAACCGCACAGAGAAAGCTGCCCAGCGTATTCAGAAGGCCGTGCGCCGCAGGCGCCTCCAGCGAACCGAAACAGTGCTCGCCTCGGATTTCGAGCTGCTTCCCTCAACATGGTGTGGCATCGATGATCAGCCAGTGCCGGTCCTCACTAAGGTGTGCCACGGCTGCTCGGGTGTCTTGCTAGTTGATGCCTCTGTTGCCAATCCGCAGGATAACGCCCTTTTGCAGAACATGTGCTCAGAGGCATTGTGCTTGGTCGTTCCAGGCCACAAGTGTCCAGATCCGGACACGTGTTCCGGGACTTGCAATGCGCCGGTGCAGCACCGTGGAACTGGCAAAAAACACCTGTTGGCCGCTTGTTACCACAATGTCGGTGAGACGGACATCCGCCCCTTCAGTGAGCATTCCGTTCAGGTTGACCTGGGGGATACGGTCTGCTGCTCCTTTGCCATGTACCAGGATGAGACTCCTTCCGATGACGTCTGGCAGGACATCTCTAAGGCCCCGGTTCGTGCTGTGGCAGACCGCTTCAAATCGCAGGGGATCGCTCAACCCCTCTCCCAACCGTGGGGGCGGTCCTTTCGTTGCAATGGGCGCCCGTGCCAGCCCCACTTGTGTGATTCCTTGATGTTCCATGCCAAAGTGCCCGGCCACATCCTCAGCAAAGTGCTCCAGTGCAGCGGGTTCAACCGGGTGTACGTTTTGCCCCGTACTTGGGACCGCCAGTTGCTGGCAGGGTGGTCCGTCATATGGCTCAAATGTGGCCGTGCCGAGGTGGAAAAGCAAGCCCTCCTTGTCCCTGGCCAGCACGGCATCGTTCGTGGCAAGTCGAAGTATGGCCTTCGGGTGAGTGCCACAGCCTTCGCAAAAGTGTTCCAACAATTGCGTCCAGGTGAGCCCGTCCCTATCGCCGTCGATACAAAACTGCTTTTCAAGGTGGGCCCGCTGCCACCTGCGGCTCCGGCCGATGCACTGGTTGAATGGGCGAGCCGTCTTCCATGGCAGATCAAAGTGCTCAAAAACCTTGGCCCAAGGTTCTGGCTTGTCGGGGCCCCGCAAGCGCCTCCCACGTGCACTGCCCGTTTCAATGAGTCTATGGTCCTGATCTCTGCTGTCAAGAGCAAAGACGTTCGAGCACCGGTGGTGCAGGCAGGCGGTTCCGTTCCCCGTGCCCCGGCTAAGACACCTGCCCCGACTGATGTGGATCCTTGGCTGGAAAGTGATCCGTGGAGCACCTACCGCACTTCGCAAACGCCCTCCTCCCAGGCTTCCGCTCCGGCACTTGCCGCGCCTTCTTGCGTCGATCTTCAGGTTGCAGGTCGCCTTCAGGAGCAGGATGGCAAGATTGCAGAGCTTGAGCGCTGCATTGGCCAGTTGCGGGACGAACAGCGCCAGGCGCATCACGACTGGCAACAGGACCGCCAGGCTATGTCGCAGGATCTGGTTAATGTGCGCAGTGAGGTCCAAGGACTGGGGGCAGGCTTGCAACAGCAACTTAAAACCAGCATTGACAGTCTCCGGGCTGCTCAGGCCCAGCAGGACCTGCAAATGAACCAGGGCATGGCTGAGCTCAAGTCGTTGTTGTTGGCACAAGCTGAACACAAGAAGCCCCGCCTGACTGGGGACTCGGACCTGTGACGGTCAGTGCGGCCTTGCTGCATCAGTGGGACCTTCCCTTGCGCCGCAAGGCTTCTTTTTGGGGTTCTCTTTCACTGGGCCGGTGACCTTTTCAGTGTCCCAGGTGAGTATGGCTGGCCAACTGTGCCGGTCTTGGGTGTTACAGGGAGCTGCCGCCATCTCCTTTTCATTGAGTGCTGCTTGTGGCCCTTCCCTCCGCAAGACAGCTGTTCCGCATCTGGTGTGCAATTGCAATGCCACATTCGCTATGGGCCGCCCTTTGCTGCCACTGTTTCTTGCCTTGCAGAATACTGCTTGGCCCCTGGTCTTTCTTTGCCCACGGTGGTCTTAACCCCGGTATGGGTGTCCAATGCACTTTCTTCTTCCTGTACTTCCTGTTGCTCGTTGTGGGCTGCAACTCCCTGGCTTATCAGGGCCCCACAGCGATGCTTTCCTGTTGACCACCTTCTGTGCCGCGCTGAAGTTTGCTCTTCGGTCCCCGGGACCAGTGCCACTGTGCCATGGCGCTTGTCGCCGATGGCGGGCCAACGTATCGGAGAAGCTAGCCACCTTGGGCCTAGCGTGCAGCCTACTTTGTGCTCCTTCTTCCCACTGAGTGCCCGCTCTCCTGGCACTCCGCCAACTGTTGTGGCGCACTATCGTTACCGGCCTTCCACTGGCCAGCAAGATTTGCGACGCTACCTCGCCCCGACTCAGGTTGCTGCTCCAGGCTTGCGACGGCCAGCCCCCCGGCCCAGGCAATGTGATGTGCCGCCTGCCACTACCTGTGTTTTTGCTGTGGTCAACCCCACCAGTGTCTTGCACAAAACACAAGCTCTGTTAGAAACGGGGGCCGATGCTCTCTGCCTGTCTGAGACGTCTGCGGTCCAGCAGACCCAGGGAATCATGTCGCAGGCCCTGCGGAAACGGGGTTTCAAAGCCATTTGGGGTACGGCCGTACCCTCTCACCAGCGTGAGGGTTCCTCCAAAGTCTGCCTCCGAGGCTTGGCTGCGGGTGTTGCCTTTGCTTCCCGGTTACCGTGTCGCGCGGCCTCACCAGCGTGGTCCCAGGATGCACTCTCCACTTGTCGCTTGAGCGAGGCTTTCGTCCGGCTGGGGGCCCTTGAGGTCCGAATTCTGACAGTGTACGGCTATCCCTTGTCCTACCCGGATGCCAAGGATCGTACGGAGGCCTTGCTGTCTCTTGTGCTTGAAAGGGTCACTGGCAACCGCGTTCCCGCCATTATTGCGGGCGATTTCAACTGCCCAGTCCTTGAGTTGCCCAGCGGTGCCCAACTGCACGCCCTAGGGTACCGGGAGATCTTTGAACTTCACGAAAGGACCACTGGCCAAAAGCTGCCCCCCACCTGTAAGGGCGCTACCTCCCATGACACAGCCTTGCTGCACCCTGCTCTGCTGCACCTGTGGCATTCAGCCTGGGTCTTGACAGGGTCTCACCTTTTTGACAGTCACGATCCATTGTGCTTTCGGTTGGAAAAATGCGTTCAGCAGCCGTGTCTCCGGACCTGGAATTTGCCCCGTGCCTGGGCAGCTTTGTCCCCTGAACCTCAGGAAGTCACCAAAGTTTTCCGCCAGGGTTCCTCTACCTTGCTTCGGCAGGCCCAGGAGTGTGCTTGCGAGGCGGACATCGACGCAGCGCTTTGCGCCCTCTCTGCGAGTATGGAGGACTGTGTTGATGTGGCTCTCTCCCGGCAACACCGCCGCGACCCGGTGCGGCACCCCTGTGCCTTCCTTCCTAAGGCTTACAGAGGTCGATGTGTGGACAGAAGTGTTGTGAAGCGCCCGGTGCCTTGCCTAGCACGCCCAGCCCGAGAGGGGGACTACACTCCGGACCAGGAAGTCACCTCTGTTCAGGGCCGCATGAAAGTCCGCCAGGTGCGTCGTGCGCAAACTCTTTTGCGAGAACTCAATAAGCTGGTGTCCTTGCCTCCCGGGGCAGTGGCCTCTGCACTTCATTCCAATTTGGAGGCTGAGTGGGCGGCCTTCCGGCGGGCCTGTGGCTTCCCACCTGACTTTGTCACTTGGACGCTCAGGGTTGCCTGCTTTGAAAGGTTCCCGTGCAGCCTTCCTCCGGTGGACTGGCTCAGGGATCTTCTTGCCTATCTACAGTTCGACTGTGATGCCCTAGCCCGCCAACAGGCAAAGCAGCGTAGGGACAATTTTCAATTTGCCCTTCGTTTGGACCAGAAGCACGGTCACCATCGGGTCGCCTTTCAAACTATACGCGGCCCAACTCCTCCGCCTTTCACTGAAGTTCCTCGTCTTGTTCAATCTGAGGTGAGGCCTTCCGACAGGAGTGCCTCTGATGGCCATTGCTGGTTTCATTGCCCGGTTGCCCACCATTTCCGAGTTGGGGCCCCGGCCCATGTTGGCCAGGAGTCGTGCGAAGTCATCGCCACAGAGCCGGACCAGATTCTGTTGCAAGGAGCTCCTCCGACATCCGGCAAGCTGGCTCAGGCCACGGTGGCATGTACGGCAGATGAGTTGCACCAGGAGTTCGCCGATTTCTGGGGCCCACTCTGGCAGCGTGACAAACAATGTGCACCCGACCTTGCCGCCTGGCCAGAGTTCACTGACCTTGCTTCCGCGGCTCGCATTGCCCTGCCACCGGTGTCACTTCAAGTTTTGGGGCCCAGCGTGTGGCAGGAGACCATTCGCAGGATGTCTTGCCGTAAAGCCACTGGTGTGTGTGGTTAGCAGTCGAAGTTCTTCAGGCCATTTTCCTGCGTGCCACCAGTGTCGGCCTCCCTGCCCACCTTTTGCGGGCCCGGATCAGCGTTCTGGCGAAAGTGTTTGCCCCGGACAGCATCTGCCAAAGCCGGCCGATCACAATCTATAGCACCTTATACAGGGTCTGGTCGTCATGCCTCACACGGCACGTGCTGAAGCAATGGGCTCAACATTTTCCCAGCGACATTGCTGGGTCGATGCCTCGCACGTCGTGCCGGGACTTGAGCTACCGTCAACAACATGAAATTGAGTGTGCACTGGTGCGCAAACGGCCCCGCCTGGGCTTCTCAATCGATATTGTCAAGTGTTTCAACCAATTGGGTTGGCCTCCGCTGCGCCACATGCTCCTAGCACTGGGGCTGCCAGCCCTTGCCCTCGACTTCTGGTTTTCTTGTTCAAGCAAGATGGAACGGTTCCCAGTGTTTCTCGGCGACACCGGCCCCGGGATTCGGTGCTATAACGGTGCCCCGGAGGGCGATCCCTTTTCTGTGGCAGCCATGGCTGGCCTTTGCTACTGGGCTCATAACCTGTGTTCCACTCCGGGGGTTGATTTTGAGTCTTACGTGGATAACTGGTCCTGGTCCGGGGCCAACCGGGCTGATCTCGCGAATGCCGTTCCCAAGGCGTTGGGTTTCCTTGAAAGTCTCCGACTGCCTGTTGACTGGAAGAAGTCCTACATGTGGGCCACGCAACGGGCTGATCGGCTGTGGTGGCGAGCAGCGGTCCCGCGCCTCTTCCCGCCGAACTGCCCCATCTCCCTCGTTACTGAGGCCCGTGACCTTGGCATCGCTTACAAATACGATTGTCGTGTCCACAAAGCTGCCCGGAATCACCGCCTCAGCGAGGGCCTTCAGCGCCTTGACCGCTTGTACCAGCAACCACGTGCGGTGGTTGACAAAGCTGCACTGGTACAGAGGGGCATCTGGCCCCAATGTCTCTATGGAAGTGAGGGCCACGCCTTTTCCTTGGCTGATCTCCAGTTGTTGCGTGGCAAGGCAGCACGAGCCATTACCGGTGACCATCGCATTCTTTCGCCACACCTCGCACTGGGTGCCCTGACGGACAGTGTGCAGGATCCTCTTCTGTACTGTGCGGAAAAACAGCTGCTTGCCCTGCGCCGCGCATGTTTGCGTGACAATTATACAGCCAGCTCTGTGCTTGCACTGGTGGTGGAAGGCACGACTGTCAAGAGCGTCCATGGCCCTGCTACCGCGCTCGCTGTCACACTCCAGCGTCTTGACTTGTCCATTGACGACAATGCCTGCGTTAAAGGTCCTGAAAATTCCAGGGTAACACTGACTGCCTGCAGTCGCAGGGAAGTCCGCGGTCTCCTTGAACGTGCCTGGAGTTTGGAGGTACAGCGCAGTGTGGCTCATAGGAATGGTCTTCACCGTGCTCCGCCACCGCTGCCTCGCATCACTGGCCGCCTCCTGTCGAAGCTGTGCCCGGGGGAGCAGGCGGTCATTGCCCGCCATATCACAGGTGCCTTTGCCTCTGCGCAGGCACGGGCCACATGGAACTCTGAGGAGGATGGCACCTGCCCGCTCTGGAGCATAAATTCTTGCACTGCCCGGCCCTGCAGCATGTTCGAGAACAATGGTTGCCCCACATTCAGCTTGCCCTGAAGCATTGGCCGCACTGGCTGCATGGCCCGTATGCGGGAGCGCCGGAGGATCTAGAGGTGCCAAGGTTGGTGTTTGCTACACGAACGGTTTTGCCACCGGAGCCGCCCGCGGGCGTTTCAGAGCTGCTGGCTCATCGACCCAGTGTCCGTTTCTTCACTGACGGTTCGTGTTGCTCTCCTCACGTTCCAGAAGCCAGCCGCGCCGCCTGGGCGGTCGTGATGGACACCTCCACTAACGATGCCGAGGTCCCAACACTGCTGCAGGAGTGGCGGGACCATCGTCGCCTGCCTGATAGTTTTCATGTGGTGAACCAGGGCCTTGTTCCTGGCGCCCAGAGTATCAATCGTGCTGAAACAATTGCTGTACTCCAGGCTGCCCGCCTGGTTGTCTCTACAGGCGCTGCTTCGGGTGAAGTCTGGACCGACAGCGAGTTTGCCATTTCGGAATGGCAGCGTGCTCTTGACGGTGTCCTCGCCACCTGGCCGGATCTGGGGGAGCTGCTCCAGGAGGTGGCTTCGCCTCGCATCAGGGTGGAGAAAATTGCAGCGCACCAGGATCTTGACCAGCTCTGGGGCCTGCCACAGTGGCTGGCAGCAGGTAGCCATGTGGTGGATGAGGCCGCCAAGCAAGCGCTGTCCAAGGAGT